GAAAGAGAACTGATGGAGTTGAAGAGTCTACGATGCACCCACTTTCCACCCGTTCGCCTGCTGGAACTCTGAGTTCCTTCTTTGAAGCTTTTGCTCCAGTGCCTTTCAAGCGCCAGAAGTGTGAGATCCGGGCCCGGATCCTGTTACACCGGCGGCTCCTCTGTGGATCTATGGCTTGTGGCAGTTTGGTTCCGGCCTCCTGCTCGGCTGCAAGCTTCCTGCAGTGGCCAGATCAGCTTCCCAGCATCTTGGACCGGGTGCGAATGGGGTATGGGGCCCGGTACTGGGGAACTAGCACGAAAAAGGAGTGACTTCCACCTGCAGCATCGGGCTTCACATTTTTAGTCAGCGCAGCCACTTTGGCACCTTCGACTCGGTTTGGTTTATGGTCGGCCCGCTTCTCTCTTTCACAAGCGGCCGATCTCCAAGAGCGATTTTCATCGAATTTTAAGCACTAAGACGAGCAATGTAAATGTATCGCAGGCGCCTTGCTCCAATGTCACAGAGCAAGGCCTTGGTCTGTGGATGTCTTTGCACTGCCACTGTACACGTTGTACATCGCGCCGGATTTGTTTGTACAAGTTGGTGATTCATCAGCACTTGCGAGATGGCAATGTGTGCCACGGAATAACGATGTGCTGCGAACCTGGATTGGCGAGACTCCCACATTCAACCAAAACCATGCCTGAAAACGGGAGAGCCCTCGATTCGCAGTACAATAGAAGGATCGCAAGCACTGCAGCCTGCAGCCAGTGTGAAACTTGAAACACTTCTCCGAAACACTTCTCCGAGTTCTCTGACATTTGGTAAGGAGAAACAATTCGACCCGACAGAGCAGTGGGCAAGGCTTGGCGCATGGTTGTTCGAATTTGCACTTGGGCTGGGCACATGTGCCAGACCTGACTACAATTGCTGAGCTTGTTAAGTTAACGAGACCCTGCGCTCTCTTCGCTTCTTTTGGCAGGGACCAAGCCATGACCCGCTCATACAGTCCACTTAGTCCACTTGCCTGTTTGAGCACTCCCTGAGCCTTGGGCTCCCGTCAGTATCGCTCCATCTATATTAAAGATCACCGTGAAGACATGTGCCAGGTTGCACAGCACATCGGGCACCTGACGTAGCTACGACTACGAGCGCAACTCAACTAATCACCACCGGCAACTTCAGCCCTGTGCTTCATGCATGTGGCGGCAGAAAGAGGCAACACGCGCTCACTTAGCGCCGGGAGAATCCAAAATCGTAAGTGCACGATCCGCTAGTTGCTGCAGAGCAAACAACGATCAAACCGCATTAACGGTGGGTGTAGGTGCAGCGCCGGCTGAATCAACGAGACGCTTGAAAATGCTGGCACGCAACAGAAAAAGTCACCTCACAGGAGAGCTTCACAAAACAAAGTCTTCACAAGGCAGTGCTCACTATGCCACTATGCTGACACAACTGCTAATCTGCTAAAACTCTCGGGAGACAAAGAGCTCAGACACCCTAAAGCAGTCCCAAGACTGCGAGAGCTTTGTCCGTCAGAGGCTGCTGGGTCTGACATGGTCCGACAACTCAGTACACGGGCCTTTTCGCCCGGCCCAGCCTGCCATCACCGAACCAACGGGAGTTGGACGGGGCGTTTCCTAACAAAACCAATGCTTCACCCAATACCCGGCTAAGCTACGCAGGCAAAAATCATTGAGACAGCAACTGCCTTGCACTAGGCGGTAGCGACGTGGCTGTGCTGGCGCCTGCCACGGATACCCAGCTGCAGGCGACAGGCACATTCAAGGTTGATAAAAACTCAAATGGAAGCTGATCCCACTGGCTTTCAGCATCACCTTTGCAGAAGACCTTGTAGCTTTTTCCGCTGCAGACAAGGTGCTGCTCCGTCGACGGGGCATGAGCCACGCCAGCCCCACCTTTGCTGAGCCAACCCAGCGCCTCTCAATCACTCGGCCAGTGCCCTCCCGCTCAACTGCAGCCATGCCGCATCGCCAACCCTTAGTTGTTGGAGTGAGTGCTGAATGTGCCTGGACCGACGCCAACCCGTGTTGAAGCGATGTCTGTCATACGAGAAGGAGGGGGTGACATTTAGCTGCGTGCTTGCCACTTTGCTTTGGCTGCTTGCATCACCAGACGCACTCCTTTTTAACGACTGCGCAACAGATCGGCAGACGGACTCCAGCACGGTGGGGGACAGAGAAGCGAAGACACCAAGACAAGCCGGAGAAAACCAAGAAGCCAGAAAGTCAACACCACGAGGGTGTCAGCCATGTGTACAACAAGAGCCACAAGGGAACAAAACGACATGCGACAAGGACGTAAAACAAGAAAGCATCTATCTGTCCGTCTGTCTGTCTATCTGTCTATCTATCGTGTCAGACTTGGCCAGCTGGCCTCGTTGCCTTTCCATTTATCTGTCTTTGTTCGTCTTACATCGTATCTCACGCCTTCTCTCTCGACTGTAATATTCACTGAATGCTTTCTAGATGAATGTTGATGTTGACACAAATCCCGACGACTTTCTGGGCTTACCAGGATGTTAATCAGCATAAGAAGGGTCAATTAATTAGTGCATCCTGGAAAGAAAAAGGTACAGCCCGGGTACAGTTTATTGGTGAGATCGCCTGTCGTAACAACAGTGCTGATTCCGAAACCTAGTGGCTTGGCTTGGCTTATCTCATCTCCCCGTAGATGTGGATTTGAAAGAAGGAGCCTAGCAAGTTCAGGTAGCAAAAACCATGCTTCATGGAGTGTCAGTGCTGCAGTTTACAGTAGATGCTGCCTGTGCAGGCTCGCAACCGAGCCTCGAAGCACGGGTGTTTTTTGTTTCTCTCCTCAATTGTTACGGGCTTTTTCTTCACTCTGCTATTTCCCTTCTCTGTCTATAAGAACCAGAAACAAAACACGCCTGTGCAGGCTCGCAACCGAGCCTCGAAGCACGGGTGTTTTTTGTTTCTCTCCTCAATTGTTACGGGCTTTTTCTTCACTCTGCTATTTCCCTTCTCTGTCTATAAGAACCAGAAACAAAACACGGGCCGACATCAACCAGCAAGTATATCAGAGTAGAATCGCACTTCATACTTACCCATTTGTCTTGTGACTCGCTCCGGCCCTGAGGGTGGCCGAGCTGCAAAGAAAGTAAACAACAAATTTTCGCCATCTGCCTCCCAATTTGGATCAAGCAGCTGCGACCCATCGCCAATTCGAATTGCGCTGCCCGGCTGCCGCTGTGCAGTAGCTTGAACAGCCTGATCGTCCGCTGATAATCAGATCACCACACTGCCTTGCTTGTCCGACCTTTTCTGCATAGTCTGTCAAGCAAAGTGGTCACAAAGCACAGCCTGCAGTGCTCTTTGCCGTGCCAGCTGGTCGATGGGGACGCTGCCGCTTCCAGGTCGCACTGGCCTGCACTTACGATTGCATATTGCCATTGAAGAGACTGGGCGCCAATGAAAAGACTTCTAACAGTCCCTGTGGGTTCTCGATGCTGGCAGAAACTACTCTGCAGTAAATTACCATTACCTTACCGGGAGACACCGCGCAGCCGACTATGCTTGTGATGGTTGCGATGGTTTTCAGAATTTCACAAGGAAGAAAGATCACATGGTAAATTAGATGACTTCGTGAGCTCGCAGCCAGAAGCCTGTTGCATCCAGAAGCGAAAACTGAAGCGCGCTTTGGCGGAAGGAGCCAAGCAAGTTCGAGTCATGCCCTGCAGACTCTGTTGAGCCTCTGTTCTGCTGCCTGTGCCTGTTTTGCCGGCGTCGCTCGCCCGCCCTGATGGCACAGGTTGCAAAGTGGGAGGAGCCTGTAAGATTGGGAGTACGTTTTGCCGCGGCCTCCACGGAGCGACCACGGGCTTTGCGCTGGCTCAGGGCCTGGCTTGGCACTTGGAACCCAAGTGCCAAAGAGCACAGGGGCCAAACTCTTGGACCGCCGCCCTGCCTGCCACACCGCATCCTAGGCTCAGATTGCGGGCTGTGCTAAGCAAATCGAGACTCAAGCATCAGAAAGCATCAAGCAATTTTGGAAAGGCCAGGCGAATGCAGCCACGGTCTCCAAGTCCTGTCGCTGTAGCTCCGTGTAGGCTGGAACCTTGAGCATCTCCTGGAGGAGCAATTCTCAAACAGTAGCCGGTGGCACGCTCTGTGGGCAGGAAGGCGTCCTGTGCCAGCAAGAGCCGCTCCTTGGAGGACTCGTACCTTCGCAGCTGCCTCACAGGCGTTGCGCTTCACTGCAATCCCGCCGCAGAGATGTTGTGTGGCTTTTCGAAACTTCAGAGGCACCGCAAGCATCTAACAGTCTAACATCTCTTGCACTCCAATCCCGGGCTTGCCTCTGGAAGCCGTCGTTGGGGCAAACCGCCGGGCGCCGTTGAGAAAGGAACTGCAGCGTCTGCTCGAAAGGAATGTTCCTTGCCATAGGCCATAGGCGAGCAACCCCCTACGGCCCTACGAGCAGGCTGTGCCTGAACCAGCAAAGTATTGAATGCCTAAAGTCAGTAACTAAGTAACTAGGACACATTGCATCAAAGGCACAGGTGGGCCATGAGATATGCGCAGATCGATGTGGAGCTTCTGGATATTCCTGGAAGCAGTGCGAGCCACGGACGTGATCCCAGAAGTGAGACCGGACGTGGTTGCTAGCAGAAGATGCAGCAGGCGCCTGCAGCGCAATGGACATAAACACAGTGCCCATTGTGCCGGGCTGATGAAATGAAGCGGACGATTCCTGACTGAAGGATCCAGGGAGAAGCCGTCACTTGAGAAAAAACTTGTCCATCAATGACCAGCATGCCTGTGCTCAGACAATGGTGCCAAGACACTTGGAAAGTGAACACCTGACCATGCATTTGTCTGCTCATTTGTCTCAGATCGCTAGCCACTATTCCGATATTGCTTGATTTATTGTTATCACGGGCTGTACTTCGAACTCGACATGAATGGCGCAACACAGTCAATGTCAAGCCGCTGAAAGACACAGGCACTGCCTTCAGGCCTTGCCATCTAGCACTAGCAGCTACAGGAGCTTTCCAGCGATCTCGCAAGCAGTTCGGCAAGCCACTGAGATCAGCAGTTGGCACATCCGGCAAGTTCACGTGTTCGCCTCAATTTTTTCTCATGTCTGCTCTGCCCAGTATTGAGTACTGTCATTCTCGAAACGTCGCGCTCTTGCCTATTCTGACGCATGTAAAGGGAAGCTTGGGAATGGAAGCTTCTGCGCGTTGTGCGGCTTTCTGCACCGTCAACACGAGCTCTCGGACCACCCGATAACCGAATCCCGTCCAAGATTGTGCTCCGTCTTCTGCCGAGCTACGCGCTGCCAGCCGGATTCGCTGCGAGGGAGTCGCAGGACCCAAAGACAGCACACCTCCCATCCCAGAGTCTCAACTGTCCAGAGGCAACTGCGTGCAAATGTCCATGCGCGGATGTCGAGAGGCCTAGCTAGATTCTGTATACTTTCATTCAACATGCAATCATCTTTCACCGATTCATGCTTCGCGGCATGGACCTGAACCATGCAGACAGAAGAGCAAAAGGGCAGAGACTTTAACAGGCCAGGCAAAGGCCCGGGAACCTTCTGCCTGGGGGCCTAGCGTAGCAGAAAGCCCATTTCTCAACAGTGCATACAATCGTGCGGACGGGCAGCAAGTTATGTTGTTCCTTAGTGCATTTCAGAGAAGAAGCTCAAGTTGCGACGTTGTCGTTGATCTACTCCTCTTGAAACAGAACATGTTTTCGGATACTAGTCGGACGGCCAAGACTCTTTCGAAAAAAGTCCAAGTCGTCCAAAACATCTTGACCTCTACAAACACGCGTCTCTGTTGTCTCCAGTGCATCAGCTTCCTCAACAGCCTAAACACTTCACCAGCTGTGAACCTTGCTGGAAAAGCCGATCATGTGCTTACATTCGTTAAAGCCCAGGCCTCCTAGCCACAAGTTCGGTAGAATCAAGGATGGCGCGCCACCCATGGCTGCAGCAGCTTGGCTTGAGCTCCCAGCTGCAGTGTCTCCAGGTGAGTGAAACTCTACAACTCTAGAGACTCTAGCGGGCCAATTTTTGCAAACTCTGCTGCCTTGGCTTGGCTCCCTGTTCTGGTGAACCTGCCGAGACTGAGGCTTTGGCTGGCATCTCGTAGGGGAATGACCCGCCATTCTGCGATGGTCCTCTGAGAACGCGGCGGCAAGACGGCTGACCAACCCGGCCGTTGCAGCGGCCCTCAAGCTAAGCCAGCCGCTCTCGACCTCGTTGCTTCCTTGCTGCTTGACTCCTGCAAGTTAACCGAACCTGGTAGTGAGACGCACACACACAGCACGAACACGCCCAGACAGAGAACTTGCCAAAGCTCTCGTCCGATGTGTCCTGTCGGTAAACCAGGTCTACCAGCAGCGCCTCCTCTGTCTGAGCCTCGTCTTCCCAGCTTGGAATTTCTTACCTTGTGTCCAGCTCTCGCCTCCCCCATGTGGCTCTCCAGAACTGCAATCTCGCCGAGCGCCTGCACTCTCAGCACATTAACGCTCCAGCTGAGTTCTTGAGCCTTCATTGCCTCCATTTGCCGTTTCTCCGACGCTCCCAATGCATCCATCGCTGCAGCCTGCAAGGCAAGTCCCAGGTTCCGTGACCGGTGAATGAGGATTTCAAGCGTCTCCACACCCACCCCTTACAGCCGTAGAGCTTCAAGCCAGATAGGGTCTTCGAAGCCATGCGAGCAAGCCTCTTGCTCGCACTCGAGTTCAATGAACGCATGCAGCTCCTCGGCACCAAAGCTTCACTCACACTTGCTTGAGTCCCTGTCCCTTGGTCCCTTGCTGTCCCAACATGCCAATTTCCAAGCTTTACGCCTTCGACTGTTGACCCATTCCTGCATGCCGGAAGCTTCATCTCGAAGCAATTCGACTCGCACACTCGCTCAGGGCAGGCATGGATTCACAGCGACTGCAATTTGCAGTTTTAACGGATCCAACCTCGCACTCGAGTGGTCAGCTGGCCAAGATGTGTCTTTGCCTGCGGATCAGCAAACGCACTGGGCTTAGAGTCCAGAAGAACGTGAAACCGAATGATGCGCAACGAAATTGTCGCAGTCTGTGACAGCACGCGCTTGCCCAGACTGCTTGCCATTGTACGATGCAGCTTGGAACGCCAAATTCTTTTCTGCATGACCTGGCCTTCAGCCTTTGCCTTGAGCCTGGCGTCCAGGTCTAGGTCCTCTCTTTAATGTTTGTAAACTATTGCCTGCCACGGCTGCATGCCTGCGGCACCATCTGTAAGAAATCTGCGCGGCCACGAACGCAAGACCATGGAAAAAAGCAGGCTTGGTTTTGTAAGACGATTGCCATGTCCCCTTTGCATCAGTGCTTGGGTCGTGTGTCGGGCCTTACCAGGTTCCCACAGCGACTCTACGTACTCTACAGTGTCCTACAGCTGGCCATGCACAGCTGTTGCTCCGCAACCTGGTCTACACACCTCTCTGTCAGGCCGCACGAGCGGTCCAGGTTAGGGGGCGAGAGACACAGGTAAAGGTTGCCTCCGGGAAGGCCCCAGGCTGCTCCGCAGCTTCAGATGAAATCAATTTCAAAACTTGCACTCAAAAGCTGTTTGCTTCAATCTCTTATCTTACTTTACAGGGAATGAAGCAAAAGAATTGGGAAGGACTCCCTCACGCTCGCCCTGGACTGAATGGCAGGTGGATCGGCATCCTTCCAGAACCGCCGCCTTGAGCGAATCGCACTGAGAGTTCACCTGCAGGTTTCGACTGCACTGCCACTCAGCGCCCGCAACCGTCTTGCAACATCCTCGTGCCCGCCAGCAAGAGCTGCCATTTCCTTGCACCAGAAGACATGCACACGAGCGTGGGGCGTGGAGGGCAAATGAACGACGACCGGACCCCGTCCACCCCCCGACGCAACAAGGGAGCAAACCCATGCTAGCATTGGCAGGCATCGGGAGTCTCGCCATCATCGTCTGCTAGGCTGGTGTCTGCACCAGAACTTAGCAGCAGGTCGACTGCTGCCAGATGCCCAAAACTTGCTGCCAGGTTCAGCGCAGTCCATCCAGACCTCGAAAGACCCCGAGGGATTCCAGGCGGTTCTCACTTAAGGCCTTGAGGCTTTGTGCGCTTCATGCAGACAGCTGGGCCAGCATCGTGTGAGAAATCTCTGAGAGGCGTGCTGCCCGACATCGTTTACCTCGGCGTCAGACAGATCAGACAAACAAGTTGGGCCTGTGTTGTTCAGCAACGTCAACAAATGGCTTTGTTAATGCTTTGCGATTGTTCAGGGCCTGACGCCTGCCATCTGCATCCTCGCGTGCAAGTTCAATTGCTGGAACATCTGTTGCAGCTGAGCGGCAGCAGCGCGGTGGGCGAGCAAGGAGAAAAGGATGTCGTCATATCCCGATTGCGCAGCGAGAAGGAGGGAGTTGTTCTGGTCTCCGTCTCGCACATTCCTGACGAGAAGTCCCACGAAAGACCCGAGCTGCACTAATTATTAGTTGAGTCGGGCATGTGTAAAAAAGGCGGGTTGGTCACTGCCGGAAAGTGGCGCTGCGGCCTGATGCTCCAATAAGCTTCGGGCAATCGCAGTGTGCCCGAAAGTCGCAGCCAGCATAAGGGGGGTTCGTCCGTTGAGAGCCTGCGCGTTCAGGTCCGCCCTTCGGGCCAGAAGGTCTTGCACAACATCAGCTGCCCCATATTGGCAGGCGACGGCAAGGGCAGTGAAACCATTGGCCGATGCAGCATCCACATCCGCGCGACAAGCTAGCAGCGCCAAGGTTACCGGTCGATGGTTCCTGCATATTTTGGAAGGGACCGGCTGGCAAGGAGACAAGAAACCACCCGCAACCGGTGTACATGTGTTTGCAGTGCGACCAAGGTCACCGGTGAGCAGCTACCCGTAATGCTTGGCCACCGATCGACTCGTCTCCATCGGAGCTTCTGGCATCAAGCTCCAGGCCAAGCTGAACGAGCAGCTCGACAACATCTGCAGAACCGTCTTCGGATGCCCGCAAGAGCGCATCCGCCAGTGCTCGCTGGTCCTGAGTGCAAAAGGCACACATCGTGACTACGATAGCAACCCTTACTAGTGGAGGAGGCTGCAAGGGCTGTGCCCTAAGTGAAGCCTAAAGTAAACATGAGGTTTACTGAAAAGCTTTAGAGACTTGAGAGACCAAGTCAGATACTCTGAGCCTCAATGGGCCGAGTGTCCTCACCGTGCGCAAACATCAGTTCGTGCAGTACAGCTGAATGGCATTTCTGCGCAGCTGCAATGAAGGCAGTGGTGGAGTCATCGGCCTGACATGTCAAAGAGGCAACGACGGCCTGCAGGTCTCAATGCGTGAGCCACAAAGCTCCTCCTTGATCGTCACTGAACTTAGGAGTTGTGATTCGTTTTGCGACGTGACTTCCGGTGTCGAGGGCTCAACGCGTCAAAGCTTGAAGCACCTATCAACCAGTGCAGTCCGGGACGCATGCAAGAAAGCTGAGTAAACATCGTAAAAAGTCCACTGTAAAATGCGGTGATGCCCTCAACTGAACGACATACATTGTAGGGACATTGGCAGCCACCCTTACGCCCCGCGTTTGCTCTCGCAGCACCGGCCTGAATGCCTGGGCCTAGGCCTAGACTAGCGAACCCAGCGGAACCCCAAACAATCTCAGAAAGAAAAATCAGCCAGCCACAGCGACACTAAGCAACGGCGGACCAAGGCGAAGCCTGAAGATGGACATCAGCTCTGCGGAGCAGAAGGCACTGCACAACGGCCACGTGCCCCATGTCCGCGGCCAGAATCAATGCAGTGCACTTCGTGTCATTCTGCTTGTCGGGGTCGGCTCGCTCATCCAGAAGGGCTTCTACCGCTGTGGTTCGGCCTCAGCGCTGCTGAGGCGGCGAACGCGCACAGTCCCCATATGTCCCCATCACACACAACTCAAGACATCTCAAGACCGCGAAGTCACGCCGGATGAGCATGCCAGCAACGTCGAATGCAAGTACTGGGTTCCGAGGCATGCCGTGGTCGGTGGACATTACATCCTTCTAGCAGACAGTGACGGTCCCGCGTGTCTGGCTTTTTTGGTTGGAAGAGCAGGTATACAGGGCCATGTGAGACCCGTGACTGCCGACAAGCATATGGACAGGTATTCGCATGCTTCTGTGTAGGATCCACACGTCGGTCTAGGAGGGAAACACTGAGACGCCTACCTGCCAACGCAGCCGTCATCAAGGGTGTGAGATCATCCTGCAACCGGAAAAAGCAAACCATGAAAGGATCACAGCTGTGCAGTTTGCAGACCCCAGCCGCTTCACCAAACTTGCCAAAGCACTGTGCGTTCGTGCCAACGGTCTCCAAATGCCAAGCTGGAAAGCCAGCAAAGTGGACTGCAAAATTAGATGACAAGGTTACCGGGTTGTTCAAAAGCAGTTGGCAGGCTTAGATCGAAGGCTCTTCAGACTCCCTGTCGCACTCCTCTCCGATGGCGTTGACATTCGCACCCATCCGGATAAGCAGGCGGCCTTGCACGCTGATCGCATTGGCCCTCATGCTAAGCCACGCGCGGAGGCGCTGTCCTTCAATGATTCAACTCTCAGGACCAAGCAGAGCTGGACCTCTCCTGCTTGAGCTGCACGGCAAAGCTCCCAAGTGCCGTCCTCAGCAGCAAGCCACAGCTGCAACCACAGATGCGAATGATGAAGGAGCGGACTGCATACGTAACTGCTGCGATGGCAAAACGATATGCCCGAAGCACAGAAGCATCCCTAGCTGCCGACCTTGCCAGCCAAGGTTCAGTACCCGCAGCACATCTACGGCAAGCCTGGTCACATAGGGTCATGCGAGCCACTGAGCCGTTTGAGAGGTGACTGGTAGCCTCGACCTCCCTGCAAATGGCAGATGCCAAAGTTCGTAATCGAAGCCTGCTTCCTGCGGAACAGCGTGACTGCGATGCACAATGCACCAAGCTTGTGCCGTGCAAGGGCTCCTATCTGCAGGAAGCCAAAACACAGTGGCAAAGGAGCCAAGTGTGCTTCCTTAGCGAAACAATCGAGATCGATGTGCTCGAGTGATATCTGTTCAGCCTGTGGCCGCATGGAACTCGTGACAGCTTGTCTGCTCTTATCTGCGTGCAAGGATGTAATCTGATCACTCATGGGCGATCGATACCTGAAAGGTGTCTAGACCTGAAGACATTTCACAGCATCTGGAAGTGGGAAGCACTCAAAGTTTGTGCAGTCGATATCTGGTGTCAGCATGTTTGGCAACAAACAAGCAGATGTATGCAAACAGCAATTTTCAAGGACAGAAGAAAGCACAATCAAGAATCCGCAAGGAAACAAACAGATTGCGAGCCGACCTTACAAATTCAGCCTGCATCAAGTCTCCATCCTCAGAGAGAGCCAGTTGCAGCTCTCTTCACCGCCAAGCCGTGAGCGGACGACACCTCTCCGTAGGCCAGAAGAATGAAACTAGGCGGCTAGCGGCTAGTGATCGCCAAACTTCTGAAAGAGATGTCTGCCAGGTGCAAAGGCACCTCAAGGCCTTCTTTGAAGCAGAAACTGGAGGTTTAACCCCGCTACCGCTACTGGCACACGAAAGCTCCCATCCTGCACAGGAATCAGCTGCCAGCTTGGCTGCTCCGCGCCAGGAACCAGAGAGAGCCCAGGCGGAGCCGGCTGCAAGTCAAGTGATTTTACGCTCTCAAAAGTTCGCCGGAGCTACCCTGTTCGATCTGGCTGGCTGCGGACGGAGCAAGGAAGCTACACACGCAACGGCAACTTCGACGAAGCATGAAGTGGCATGCTTTCACAAGGGCCCGGAGAATCACGCAGAACCCAGCCTGATCCAGGGCTGCTGATGCCTGAGATGCGAACCGGTCAAAAGCGAACATAATGCCCCAGTACCTGCACCTGTGCATTCAAGCAAGGGCCGCCGCCGTCACTCTACGTTGATCTGCTGCTTTGGCTGCCTCCTCCCAGCCACGGCGTTGCTACAGTACTGTCCCCAAGCCGTTGCCAATCAACGCCACACGCACGGCCAACAACAGGCTCTTGTGCTTGTGAATGAATGAGGCTGTCGAACCATGTTGACCGATTTCCGGATGATTGCACGGGGTTGCATGGCGTTCGCTTCCGAGCAATCCGTGCATGGCCGCTGATCTATGAGCCGTGGCCGACGAGAGCCTACCTTTTACACCTGGACTACGCATATGCCAGGAACCGAGCGACAAGAGCCTACCTGAGGAAGAGACCACCCTTTTCGAATTGACTTGTGGAGACGTCAATGTTTCCTGGCAGGAACACTTTGCCTATGCAAAATCCGTTTCAAGGCCTGCGATGTTGATGTCATGCTGTCCCTGCTCCACTTCAGAGCGGAGCTCCCTTTTTGTCATACGTTTCCTTGACAGCGGTCATGATATTATGCGAACCTTGCACCATTGGGACTGTGAGGCAAAGGCTTGGAACGAAGGTTGGAAAAACCAGAGACAGGGCTTGCCCTGCACACGAATTTCCCTGACATACACGGAGCACGCGGCAAAAGCAAAGCATACAAACTTGACTTGTTACTTGAAAAGTGTGACATGTGAACAAGATCTGGGTTCGGACTGGATCTCGAGGCGAGCTGCAAGATCAAAGAGCTGCTGTCACCAAATTCTTTTCTCAAGACGCGCCTCGGCTGCGGCCTCTATCAAGTGTGCTATGGATATCACACGGGTACATTATCATTGTGAACTTCTTCACACGATGCTTGGGCATCGTGCGCTTGTTCCTGTACACGGTGAGCGCAGCATGGACTACAAGATGTGGTAGCACAGCTGCGGAGCAAGTCAGAAAGTGTTGCACGTGACACCCGGGCGACCCTCAAGACTGCAAGAACAACTCCGAGTATGGGTGCCCTAGCATCATAAAAACCGTGTGCCTGGTGCAGTTCCAGGACGGCAAGCCGCTAAGGCGTCACGAGCACACACGAACAAACAGTTTCCGGGGAAGCAGCCGGCACTTCTGAAATATGACCTGCTCCAACTCTAGAGACGACATGCGGAGTTGAGGTGCCCTAGTGTGCCTTTATCTGCTCCCTGATCCATCCACTCATGACCTAGAATATTTGAGACTCTTTGCTCTTGCCACCAAATTCAAAAAATCAGAAACACGTGCTGAGCCACTGTCGAGCTCTAACTGTTCAAACTCCTCTCAGCCGTGAGTTGATAGTTAATGAGCCTCAGTCAGACGCACATCGAGTCATTTCCATCACTTAGCTGCCCTAGCCGCCCCCAGCTGTTTGACTGGTGGACACACGCTGCAAAAAAAAGCAGAAAGCCGAGGCACGAAAAGTCAGCGGAAGCCGCCTCATTGTTCCGTGACGATTTCTAGCATGATCCGCGCAAATCCATCCTTGTCCTTGCGGATGCTACAGGTGTGCGTTCGTGCGGACTTGCCACAAGGTCAAACAAGTCAGCAGAGATTCATCTACTTCAGAAATATTCAGAACTTCGGGGTGCAGGCCTGGTTTGCGTTCAAGTTCCACGATTGTGGAGAGCCCGTTCTTGGGTCGCGCAGTCTCGCCACGCAATTATTGGCAAAGTCATGGCATCCGCTGTGGGTCCTTGAACCGACGGTGACCCGAAAGGAAATCCAAAAACTAGCATTGGGATTCTGTACTTGCTGGCATTTGATCTCCATCTGCGATACTTGACCTTTGCCCTGCTTCACGTGTCGGAGGATGACCACGAACATGCTTTCGTCTGCGCTGGACGATGTTTTGACCGGTATCTGGTGAGAGACAATCTGCCGCTCTTTCCCCAGTCTACTCACAGCGATTCTCCATTCTGCAACGCAGAACTTGGCTGCTGAGAAAACTTGGAGCGGGCCAGGGACTTGGCCGATGGCCGCTACGAACTGTTGTGCAAGACCTTCTGCTGTGGGGCAGCGCGATGTGGAACTCGATGGAGGGTTGGAAGTCTGAAACGACTTGGCAGGCATTCGAATCTTTGCTGCCAAAGCCTTCACTTCGTCGGTGGATCTTGAAAATGTCACTGCGGGAGGGTGCCTGATGCAACTTGTCTGGGCTGGTTGCGCCGTCGCCGCAGATGTGGCCTCCTGTTCTGTCCAGCCAATCTGCTTCTTTGCTTCGCCCAGCAAAGTGATCATGGTGAGCTGGGTAAGGTTCAGCTCATCTCTCTCACAATTCGCGCCACTCACGCCATCTTTTTCAGCTAGAGCGGCACCATAGGCACGTGAATTTGAGGACTGCACATCCTCAAACGGCAAAAGAACATGGGCCATGGCATGGAGCCCGGCTATATCTGCTGCTTGGGACACGGGCGACAAGGAGAATCGGAACTCACTTGGTTTGGCTACAAATGCTGAAGCCTGGTTCTGGACTGTCCATGCATCCGAAATGTCTGCACGCTTAGCACGCCTCTGCTGCCTGCAATTGTTGCGACTGTTTGGTGGCGAGATCTTCCAGTCGAGACCTAGTGTCAAGCGTGGCAGCGGTTAGCCTGCCAAGACCTGGCAATTATTGCTGAGGCCGGTGCCGTGACCTGTGCTGAGATCGGAACACCTGTCCAGTTGCTCCAAATGAGTCGCGCGGCTTCCGCTGCAATCGCAAGCACATGCTCTGTTTTCACTTCATTGCAAGACGGCCTCCGCCAGATGCTCTCCTCTGCCACTGAGGTGTTCTTGGTGCAACTCCTCTAGGCGACACCTTCGGCAAGGCTTTGAAAGTCAGGAAAAGAACGAGGGCAGCCGGTGCATGTATGCGTGTGTGTGGGCAGTTCTCTAAACTGTCGGGGCCCCCAATCACTTGCGCCCCCCCCGAATCCATCATCTGTGCCCCCCCCCCCCCGGGCCGGGTATGGGCTCCACACCGACCCCCAAAACAGTCGGGCACGCCCGGAAGCCCGGACAGCCCGGACAAGCCCGGACAGCCCGGACAAGCCCGGACAAGCCCGGACAAGGCCGCACAAGCCCGGACAAGCCCAGACAAGCCCGGACAAGCCCGGACAAGTCCGGACAAGCCCGGACAAGCCCGGACAAGCCCGGACAAGCCCGGACAAGCCGGGACAGCCCGGACAGCCCGGACAAGGGCCCGGACAGCCGACAAGCCCGGACAAGCCGGACAAGCCAGCACAGCCGGGACAGCCCGACAGCCCGGACAAGGGCCCGGACACCGGACAAGCCCGGACAACGGACAAGCCGGGACAGCCCGGACAAGGGGGGCGACAAGGGCCCGGACAGCCGGACAAGCCCGGACAAGCCCGGACAACGGACAAGCCAGGACAAGCCAGGACAAGCCCGGACAGGTTAGACACTTAGGGTTTTCGTCTACTCCTTTTAGGGTTTCGTTCTGGGTTTATTCTTTTAGGGTTTCGTTCTGGGTTTACTCCTCTTACGTTCTGGGTTTACTCTTTTTAGGGTTTCGTTCTGGCCCGACAGCCCGGACAAGGGCCCGGACACCGGACAAGCCCGGACAAGCCCGGACAACGGACAAGCCGGGACAGCCCGGACAAGGCGGGCGACAAGGGCCCGGACAGCCGGACAAGCCCGGACAAGCCCGGACAACGGACAAGCCAGGACAAGCCCGGACAGGTTAGACACTTAGTGTTTTCGTCTACTCCTTTTAGGGTTTCGTTCTGGGTTTACTCCTCTTACGTTCTGGGTTTACTCTTTTTAGGGTTTCGTTCTGGCCGGACAGCCCGGACAAGGGCCCGGACAGCCGGACAAGCCCGGACAAGCCCGGACAGCCGGGCCCGGACAGCCGGACAAGCCCGGACAAGCACGGACAACGGACAAGCCGGGACAGCCCGGACAAGGGCCCGGACAGCCGGACAAGCCCGGACAACGGACAAGCCAGGACAAGCCCGGACAGGTTAGACACTTAGGGTTTTCGTCTACTCCTTTTAGGGTTTCGTTCTGGGTTTACTCCTTTAGGGTTTCGTTCTGGGTTTACTCCTCTTACGTTCTGGGTTTACTCCTCTTAGGGGTTGGGCCGATTACTCCTCTTAGGGGTTGGGCCTTCTTTCATTAGGGTTTCGTTCTGGGTTTCCTCTTTTAGGGTTTCGTTCTGCGTTTACCCCTCTTAGAAATTGGGCCTAATCACTTGCGCCCCCCCCCCCCCGACCCGGGCCAGGTATGAGCCCCCAAAACAGTCCTGCCCAGACAAGCCCGGACAAGCCGGGACAGCCGGGACAGCCCGGACAAGGGCCCGGACAGCCGGACAAGCCCGGACAAGCCCGGACAAGCCGGGACAGCCCGGACAAGGGCCCGTACAGCTGGACAAGCCCGGACAAGCCCCGACAACGGACAAGCCAGGACAAGCCCGGACAGGTTAGACACATAGGGTTTTCGTCTACTCCTTTTAGGGTTTCGTTCTGGGTTTACTCCTTTAGGGTTTCGTTCTGGGTTTACTCCTCTTACGTTCTGGGTTTACTCTTTTTAGGGTTTCGTTCTGGCCGGACAGCCCGGACAAGAGCCCGGACAGCCCGGACAAGCCCGGACAAGCCCAGACAAGCCCGGACAAGCCCGGAAAAGCCCGGACAAGCCCGGACAAGCCCGGACAAGCCGGGACAGCCCGGACAGCCCGGACAAGGGCCCGGGCAGCCGGACAAGCCCGGACAAGCCAGCACAGCCGGGACAGCCCGACAGCCCGGACAAGGGACCGGACACCGGACAAGCCCGGACAAGCCCGGACAACGGACAAGCCGGGACAGCCCGGACAAGGGGGGCGACAAGGGCCCGGACAGCCGGACAAGCCCGGACAAGCCCGGACAAGCCCAGACAACGGACAAGCCAGGACAAGCCCGGACAGGTTAGACACTTAGGGTTTTTGTCTACTCCTTTTAGGGTTTCGTTCTGGGTTTATTCCTTTAGGGTTTCGTTCTGGGTTTACTCCTCTTACGTTCTGGGTTTACTCTTTTTAGGGTTTCGTTCTGGCCGGACAGCCCGGACAAGGGCCCGGACAGCCGGACAAGCCCGGACAAGCCCGGACAGCCGGGCAGCCGGGACAGCCCGGACAAGGGCCCGGAGCCGGACAAGCCCGGACAAGGACAACGGACAAGCCGGGACAGCCCGGACAAGGGCCCGGACAGCCGGACAAGCCCGGACAAGCCCGGACAACGGACAAGCCAGGACAAGCCCGGACAGGTTAGACACTTAGGGTTTTCGTCTACTCCTTTTAGGGTTTCGTTCTGGGTTTACTCCTTTAGGGTTTCGTTCTGGGTTTACTCCTCTTACGTTCGGGGTTTACTCTTTTTAGGGTTTCGTTCTGGGTTTACTCCTCTTAGGGGTTGGGCCGATTACTTCTCTTAGGGGTTGGGCCTTCTTTCATTAGGGTTTCTGGGTTTCCTCTTTTAGGGTTTCGTTCTGGGTTTACCCCTCTTAGGAATTGGGCCTAATCACTTGCGCCCCCCCCCCCCCGACCCGGGCCAGGTATGGGCTCCGCGCAGACCCCCAAAACAGTCCTGCCCAGACAAGCCCGGACAAGCCGGGACAGCCGGGACAGCCCGGACAAGGGCCCGGACAGCCGGACAAGCCCGGACAAGCCCGGACAACGGACAAGCCGGGACAGCCCGGACAAGGCGGGCGACAAGGGCCCGGACAGCCGGACAAGCCCGGACAAGCCCGGACAACGGACAAGCCAGGACAAGCCCGGACAGGTTAGACACTTAGTGTTTTCGTCTACTCCTTTTAGGGTTTCGTTCTGGGTTTACTCCTCTTACGTTCTGGGTTTACTCTTTTTAGGGTTTCGTTCTGGCCGGACAGCCCGGACAAGGGCCCGGACAGCCGGACAAGCCCGGACAAGCCCGGACAGCCGGGCCCGGACAGCCGGACAAGCCCGGACAAGCACGGACAACGGACAAGCCGGGACAGCCCGGACAAGGGCCCGGACAGCCGGACAAGCCCGGACAACGGACAAGCCAGGACAAGCCCGGACAGGTTAGACACTTAGGGTTTTCGTCTACTCCTTTTAGGGTTTCGTTCTGGGTTTACTCCTTTAGGGTTTCGTTCTGGGTTTACTCCTCTTACGTTCTGGGTTTACTCCTCTTAGGGGTTGGGCCGATTACTCCTCTTAGGGGTTGGGCCTTCTTTCATTAGGGTTTCGTTCTGGGTTTCCTCTTTTAGGGTTTCGTTCTGCGTTTACCCCTCTTAGAAATTGGGCCTAATCACTTGCGCCCCCCCCCCCCCGACCCGGGCCAGGTATGAGCCCCCAAAACAGTCCTGCCCAGACAAGCCCGGACAAGCCGGGACAGCCGGGACAGCCGGGACAGCCCGGACAAGGGCCCGGACAGCCGGACAAGCCCGGACAAGCCCGGACAAGCCGGGACAGCCCGGACAAGGGCCCGTACAGCTGGACAAGCCCGGACAAGCCCCGACAACGGACAAGCCAGGACAAGCCCGGACAGGTTAGACACATAGGGTTTTCGTCTACTCCTTTTAGGGTTTCGTTCTGGGTTTACTCCTTTAGGGTTTCGTTCTGGGTTTACTCCTCTTACGTTCTGGGTTTACTCTTTTTAGGGTTTCGTTCTGGCCGGACAGCCCGGACAAGAGCCCGGACAGCCCGGACAAGCCCGGACAAGCCCAGACAAGCCCGGACAAGCCCGGAAAAGCCCGGACAAGCCCGGACAAGCCCGGACAAGCCGGGACAGCCCGGACAGCCCGGACAAGGGCCCGGGCAGCCGGACAAGCCCGGACAAGCCAGCACAGCCGGGACAGCCCGACAGCCCGGACAAGGGACCGGACACCGGACAAGCCCGGACAAGCCCGGACAACGGACAAGCCGGGACAGCCCGGACAAGGGGGGCGACAAGGGCCCGGACAGCCGGACAAGCCCGGACAAGCCCGGACAAGCCCAGACAACGGACAAGCCAGGACAAGCCCGGACAGGTTAGACACTTAGGGTTTTTGTCTACTCCTTTTAGGGTTTCGTTCTGGGTTTATTCCTTTAGGGTTTCGTTCTGGGTTTACTCCTCTTACGTTCTGGGTTTACTCTTTTTAGGGTTTCGTTCTGGCCGGACAGCCCGGACAAGGGCCCGGACAGCCGGACAAGCCCGGACAAGCCCGGACAGCCGGGACAGCCGGGACAGCCCGGACAAGGGCCCGGGCAGCCGGACAAGCCCGGACAAGCACGGACAACGGACAAGCCGGGACAGCCCGGACAAGGGCCCGGACAGCCGGACAAGCCCGGACAAGCCCGGACAACGGACAAGCCAGGACAAGCCCGGACAGGTTAGACACTTAGGGTTTTCGTCTACTCCTTTTAGGGTTTCGTTCTGGGTTTACTC